AGACAAGTATGTTTGAATTATCAACATTCATTAGATATATTTCTTTAGCTCATATTATGATATATATTTTTAACAATTTTACTTATAGAATTATTATTTAAAATATACAATTTCTCTGATTTCAAAACATTTATATCACTTTAAACCTTTTTGATTTAAGCTATTCAAGATAGTGTTTTGTAAATTAATATTTATTAATTTAAATAACTTTCAGTGAAGCGAATTTTTATGTATGGGTGCTTTACTGAAAATATCTCACAAACTCAATACTTACCACTTGAGTGGTTGTTGTGTAAAGCAATTCAATATCTCAAGGTTATATCAGTTCATAGAAATAATTATCAGAATCGGCTGTATGTATATTGGGTTTCAGTTTGGTATCATTACTGTCTACTCTGCCTATATTTTTAAACATCACTGATATATTGCATTTTACTTTGTACTTAAGGAATTATGCCAACGAATCTTTACAGAAAAAACAGAAAAGTAATGTATGATGTATTCGGAAATTAATTTCCGTGATTCCTAGACATTCAATTAATAAATATCAAAACCGACGCCAATAACACTTAAAAATCAATAATTTTATGAAGTTAAATATCTTTCAAAGATACACACAATAGATAACCGAATTGTCTACTAGACAAGTGATTTGAACATTCGACAATAATTGTGCAACTAAACAAAACTAGGATGAAGTTCTTCCTTGTATATTTTTTCTTCTATAAATTAACAAAAAATATAACTTACTTGTAGATGTGCATACAAAGCGTCACATTAACATTATTTACGTTATTACACATTATATAATTCAATAGTTTCTATTAGAGGTAAATTGTACTAAAACATTTCGTATATAAATTACCAGTTACGTGACGTTTAAGTGAATATCTTCGATATGTTCGTTTACCTTTCCTGCTATTTTTAGAGAAAGAAATACAGAGGGAATATGCAATTCAGTAAAATTGTGAAGTGCATGTTTGTTTATTACTTTTGCTTATTAGCAAAAAATAATTTGTTAAAAATATACACAAGCAAAATGTCACTACCACACGGGGTGACGTACGAAAGTACAAGAAATGTTTTCTTTCTACTTCTAAGATATCGCGATCCTGGGGAACATTGAGGAAATACAATAGTTAAATGCATTAGAATCAACGGAAGTGTGTTTTGCAAAAACACTGATTGTTCATTATCTCATATCATAGACTCTCTTTTAAACACATGCATGTACATATATTCATATTTCAGAACAGTCGTTCTCGGAGTAATTAAATGATATACAAGTATACAGTGTGTATGATAAATCTCTAATATATCGTGCATATACTATTACAGACACGTAGGGCATATAATTCCCTATATACATATACACATCGTACACATATATATTTTATATACATACATACAGGAAGAAGTGAAAATGACCCAATTTTCGTTTTATCATTACAAAAAAAGACCAACAGTCTGATTAACTTAAAATATAGAATTTAGGCTGTTCGATTATAACCCTGTTTCCGATTTTTAAGTGCTGCTATCGCAGTTCAAGGATAGCATGTGCTACTTTTTGTTCAGAGCATACCCGTTTCGTAGCCAGGAAACATAATTGGAACCCACTGTGCGAATAATTACGTGCGGTGGGAAGTTTCGACATCAATCAATTCATTGTACGATTTCGTTTAATGATCATAAAATCATGACAAAGATGCAATTGCCTTGTCAACATTATACATCACACTTGACAATATTTAAAAGTTTGTACGATCTGCGAATTTAGTATCTGTCTTCTCTGAAATTTACATTATCTTGCGATATGTTATTTAATGTAGTATTGCTGTATGGGAAGTACTTAAGTTTCTTATTATGTTTGAATGTGATAAAGAATTGGTTATACATTTATTAGGAAATCCGATATTTCAATGCTTTTGAGACGCAGAACACAAATTGTCATTTCATTGCTCTAATAAATTCTGTAAATACCTATAGAATTAGATGCATCTCTCAATTTTCTTGTGATAACTAGTATCTACGCAATTTAAACAGTCTTCTAAAGAATTACTTTGAAATTAACCGTTCTATACGATATGTACACTATTTAAAATGAATCTTATTTATCTAATTTATAAAACATTGAAATCAATATATTAAAGATAATATTTACTAGGTAAACGCATGAAAAGTTTGTTGCTCTCAACCTTTTCATTTTTTTATTTTCCAAATAGGAGGGAAACAGAAATAATTTCAAAATAAATTGCTTTAAATAAATACTATAAATTGATTTTACAAGGGTTCATTTTATCAAGTTCTTTTCCGGTTAATTTTCGCACAGTACACCTGACTGTGTATTTCACTCAGTAATATTTTATGGCCCATTGCACCGGCTCTGATATACGGATCGACCGAGAGTACCTATTACATAACAAATAATCGATACGCCTGCGCACACGTTCTACGACTTTGGTGTTCTACGCATTATTTATGCTACAATGGTTTGTCACAAAATTGCAGTTAATGCACTCTAATTTAGTTCATCTCTCAAGAAAACAAGAGGACGATCCTACCATTCTCTCTCTATGAAGTGAGAAACTGCACAAGTATTATTCTTACTTCTTCTCGGAAATATATCTTTAAAGGGGAAGAGAATAACACAACTGAATTTTTTATTGAATTTGCAGACACTTTCGAAGACATTAAAAATATTTGTTATGATATAAGCTAGCTAAGCTATTCGTCACAAAGACAAATTGCAACCGTTTTCCCTGTACGAGCCCTCTAGAAACTCATGAATAAGAAGCCGCCTAATACATATCGCAAGAGGCCGTGTGATCTGAACACGCGAGGGATTGGCGCAACAGTTGCGCGCTAGCGAGGAAGGGCACCTCCTTCAGGTAGGTCAGTGCGAACCCCGCCGGTAATTTGCCGAGAGAAAGCAAATTTAGGCAATCTAACTTTAACAACGAGCTTGGTCCCCATGGAACGTGGGAGCTCTGGCAGTGGCCCGGCGGCGGCGGAGGGTCGGGGCGCTGGAAGGGGCAGCGTCAGGCCGGGCGCGCGACTGGCTGACAGCTGACAGTCCTAGCGCGCTCGCCGGCAGCCACAGTGGCGGCGGCGGCGGCACGGCCGAGTGCGCAAAGCCCGCCGGCGCATGTCACAGCCACAGGGCAACTGGGCGAGCTCCCATCGATTATGCAGGATGTTGAATTAACTTTCAGAGGCACGCGGACAGGCAAGCTTCTAGGGGTATTCTCAAAGGCTTTTGAGCGGTGCTTCGGGTGTTAACGTTCTGCGCGCTGGTACCGGAGTTTTCGCTCGTCCAGGGAAAGAAAGGCAGTTGCAAGAACAAATGGCTGTCACCATATGAGAATGCTGGCCAATAGAATCATTGAGTATCCTTTGAAATTGACTAGTTCAGTGACATTGTCCCCTTCGCCCAAAAACGATCGTTCGGAATGGGAGTGTCTTAAACAGTATAAAGCCATGATTCTGCGCTGTGACTTGGAACCGTGCCGAGACCGCCGCCCTGTGAGTTCTGCAGCCGCAACATCCGACCGGAAGCGATAAACCCAGAGTTTCCCGTTCGCCTTCTGCAGCACGCTTCCGTCGAAACTCGAGTCACTGTTGGCGACAATACTAATCGGTCAATGAGCTAATAACACAGGAAGACTCGCTGAATTTCATAGTTATCTTCTAACAAATGAAGCGATTTTTTTGTACGAAACGCCGCGTGGCAACGCTTTAAAACGGCACCAAACGAAGCATCATCCGCTCACAATGCACTCAATACAGCCATTATTTTCGTTAAAACCCGTTTATCATTTCTAGCAATCGTTCGCCATTCAGACTGCTTTATATCCAAGGGTGAAAACAAGCAATTGTTTGTAACGTCGAATAAAACTACACATTTTCACGTTACATCATTGTTTTTGAAAGTTCGATTAATATGTACACATGGGGCGTTTTGGTATCAGTGGAATGCGATTTACAGAAAATATACATCAATCAAATATTCTCAATTATTGTTAATACTTGAAACTTTTGCTTTGTATTATCCGATCACCATTGTTCTGCCTTCCAGTGGCTTAACATGGCAGTGCAAATACAAAACTGGCGACCGTCACTCGTCACGGCAACCTTATATTCTCTGTGAAACTATTGGTCGTTTTTTGTAAAATATCGTCCTTCTAGTAGTAAATATAATACGTTATAATATTAGCAAATCCTTTCCATAAGAGATTGTTATACACAAAATTGAAATTGACGGAGGATCGTTATGTAAAGAAAAAGTTGGCGAGGGAGGTGGACAGAGTCTGTCGGTCGTCTCACCGGGGGCCTACAGAAGCACTTCGTCGCTGCCACACGGAGGAGCTGCGGGCGCCAGCTGCGGGCGCCAGCGCCTTGCGCCACACCGCGCGACCACGGCGGCCGGAGAGTTCCGCCTCCGCCCCGCCTCCGCTGCGCCGTCGCCCGCCGCCGCCGCCGCCCCCGCTCCACGCCGCTGCCGCCGCCCCGCCGCCGCCGCCAGGCGCCCGGCGCAGCTGCGGCAGCCTTCTGCTCCCGCTAGAGCCCGCTAGAGGACAAATTTTGGAATTCAAGAGTCATTAGAGAACAGTGACCACACTATAAAACTGGTACAAATGAATGAGATGTCTGCTGACAGAAGAACAGTCGGCGAATTCTCTTGAATCAAGAACGAACGTCCACTGTTGTTAGTTTTTTGGCGGGGGAATCCCCGTGCTTCCGTCCGTTGGAATTAGATAAACGTACAAAAAGTTCGTAGATCAATGTTCTGCAACACAATTCCACCCAAAAATAGATGAACTCCCTTAGGTACAGTACGTCGAAGGTTCGTTATTAGAAATGAGTTTCTTTCTTTTCGTTTCCGTCGCGGCTCGTGCGGCGACGCAACGAACGTACTTCGCAAGTTCACGTGTGGCGCGAAGAAGTCAACACTGAAGGAATGTTATTGGGTGACGGCAGACGTCGGCGGCGGCACCGCTGTCTTAATCACGGACAAAAACGAACTCGTTGTAATGGTTCCAGCGGTTCTCCTCGGAGTCGACGCCGGGCTTGAGGTCGGCCGTGGCGCCCCCGGCCGTGCCCGAGCCGCAGCTGCCCGCCAGCTTGAAGCCCTGTTCCTGGAGCATGTCGAACGCCTGCTCGATGAACGAGTGCTTGAGGAAGAAGCGTGACGTGTAGCGGTCGCTCACCCCGTGGTCCGGGTCTCGACTCTCGTTGAGCGTCTCGCCGAAGACGTCGCGGCACAGCGCCACGCGCCCGCACACCAGGATGCGCGACAGCTTGCGGAACTTGACGTCCGCCAGGCCGTCGCGCCCGAACTGGAAGCTGCCGCGGTAGCCCACGGTGATGTAGCCCGCCGAGCGCGACTTGTCCGCCGCGGCCAGCCCGTCCTTGTACTGCTGCACGGCGTCCGCCATCCCCGGCAGCCCGAAGTAGGCGGCCTCCTGCCGCAAGCGCTCCTTCTCGCAGAACTTCTCCGGCAGCACGAGCGCCTGGTTGCGTAGGTAGTCGAGCACGTAGCGGAAGAGCACGCCGTCGCGGTCCAGGAAGTACTTGCCCTTGGCGTCCTTCGGCGGCGGCGGCTGCTTGCCCGTGAACATGTGCGCCAGCAGCGAGTCCGCCTCGCGCGTCAACGTGCTCAGCGCCGTCGTGTAGAACACTCCACCGACGTTTAGTTCCACCACGGGCGAGAAGTCCGCCATGTCTGAATCTTCTTGCATGGCCAGCTTGCTGCTCCGGCCGGACGCACCTCTCTCACGGCGGGACACTCACTCGCGACTGGCGGCGGCGGAGGCGGCTGCGTACGGCTCCCGCGCGCTCCCCGCTGTTTTCTTCGCCGCTCCTCTTTCCGCCCCGGACCCGGCCGCCGGCGCTGGCGCCCCTCCGCGCGGCTGCGCGGCGCTCCCCACCCCGCGCCCCAGCCGCGCGCGCCGCTCCCCCCGCAACGCCTCCCGACCCGACCCGACCCGCCTCGCCGGTCCGTCCCAGCCTCGTCCCGCCCCGTCACCCTCGCAGCGCCGCCCCTCCCCCGCCGCCCCGGCTGCAGCGACGCGGGAATTTTGATCAATACGCCGCGGATTCGGCGCACTCCTCGCCGTCGCGCACCTTTCGGGTCGATCCGGAGCGCAGCATCCCGTTACTTCGAGCGTGGAGCGCGCGCCGCTGCCAGGCGGAACGGCGACGGCGGCGGAGGAGGTGGACGAGCGGACGAGCGGACCGGTGGGCGGGCGGAACGAAAATAGCAAGTCGCCCGCCGCCGCCGGCCGGCGTCACGCGACCGCCTCCGCCGCTCCGCCAGGCACGACCTCCACTCCCTCCTCCGACACCCCCCGACCCCCTCCAATGACCTCTTCCACCCCCGTTTGCTGCCACATATACCAGCTTCAGCTCAAAATCCCCGACTCTTGTTGCTTTTCGTTCCTATTTTCCGTTTCTCTGATCTTTCCTCTTTTTAATAATTTTCCATCAAGTGTGCTCTTCCTCTGTTTTCTAGATCCTGTGCTTCTTTCTCCAAAATCCCACCTTTATTTTATTTAATTTTTTCTGTTTCCAAATGTTTACTCCTACTCTTCGCTTTATTACGTATTTTTTTATCCGATTACCCTGTGTACTTCTTAATTAAAAAAAACATTTCCCACAACTTATTATATCTCTGTTCTCCTGATTCTAAGTTTGTCTCCTCCAAATTTCCATTTCACTTCTTTAATTATCTTCAATACTTTTCCGCAATGTTAACTCTTAAACTGTTCCCCTGAATGTGTCCTTCTGTCACGCGAGTTGCGTCTGTCTCTTTTTTACTCTTTTTCTACAATATTTATTTTCCGTCTTTTGCCTGATTCCGTACTTTTTCTCTCGCCAACATTTCCTTCCTTTTCACTTTTTAAATATTTTTTTTCTAATTTTCTCTTCATTTGGCTTCACTTGATGTACGGTCATTTTCACTTAATTATTTTCGATCTATAATTTTAATGTTTTGTCTCACGTCTATTACTCTTTCTTCTTTTCGCCCAAATATTATATTAGTTTTATTTTTCTTTGATTTCCAAAACACGTGTTTCTCTAAGAGAAAACGTTGGTGCCCTTCTTATGTTTCCCTCGGCTTTTAATTCTTCTTTTTATTATTTATTGTAGACATTTCCCCTATCTTTCATTTCTACTTCCTTTTTGCCATAGTATTGTTCTTTTGAATTTTATTTTTTTTCTATCACGAATTTAAGCTGGATGTTGGATTCTGGATGTTTGTTTCCCCTCTCAGGGTATGATTTATGATGTTGAGTCGAGAACAACTTATGAGCTTCCTTTTCCAAGCTACACTGTCCACTTCCCTACCGCTAGATTTATTTTTAAAACGGACGTTTGTGAACCTCATAACGCTTCGATAAGACCGCCAAAAGGATTTCCGTTACAAGAGCAGGAAATGCCATGTTTTACTGGAAATAACTGGGGATTGTAATTTTCGGGAAATTCGAAAATGTCGTTGGGGCTTCGTTTCAAGTATCTCCTCCCCAAATTAAAATATCCTTTTCTAGTTCGATATCAATGAATAAATCCTGCTATGATAGCAAATACAGTTCTTATTGATAATACATAGTGAAAGTGGGATACTATACATATGTATTAGGAAGAATGATATCAATTGATGAATTCGCTAAGACAATACCTATTAAGCCTCAAATAGTAAAAAAGAATAAAAATCCTAATGTTCATTGTAGTGAAAGATTATAAGATAATTGTGATCCATGTAAAGTGGCTAATCAACTAAAAATTTTAATTCCTGTTGGTACAGCAATAATTATCAAATCTGAAGTGAAGTATGCTCGAGTATCTACATCTATATCAACTATGAGCATGTGATGGGCTCATACAACAATACCAAGTAATCCAATAGCTAGCATTGCATAAATTATTCCGAGTGTACCAAATGCTTCTTTTTTCCCTCTTTCGTGAGTAATAACATGATAGATAATTTCCGAATCCTGACAGATTCAAAATAGAGACTTCTGGATGACCAAAGAATCAAAATAAATGTTAATAGGATTCCCTTCTCCTGTGGGATCGAGAAATTATGTATTTAGATTTCGATCTGTTAATAATACAGTGATAGCGCGAGCTAAACCTGGTAATAATAATAATAATAATAATAATAAAAAAGGGCTGAAATTCCGATTTTAATTAGAGTTCTAATAAAATTTAAGGCTCCTAAAATTGACGAAATTCCTGCTTAATGTATTGAAACTAGTGAAGCTACTCTTGTCAGCTGCCAGCTATAGTTGCCTAAAGTACATTTTTTTTAATTGTTCTTAATTTTTCGGCTTCCTACTTGTGGAACAGAAATATAATTTTCATAATATTAAAAAAAAAGAAAACCTCGACCAAAATGGGAATTTTCTTTGAAAAATTAGAAGCCTTTTTTAAGATGGCAGTTAAGCGCTACTGTAAATTCGAAATTTAAACCTCTTTTCACAGAAAATTAATGAGTTTTCGAAAAACTTCATATGACGAACTTTCAAGCACTTACAGTCACAAATTCAAGTGTTTACAAATGGCTGGAAATGTACATATTAAAGGCGTGAGAGATGTTTCAAAAAAAATAATTTGTTTAATGTTCGAAAAAACAAATGAATACTGCAAAATTAATTCTATGTCATCTTAAACAGCACTATCTGTTATAAAAGCTTGATGAAAGCTTTGGAGCCATTTGTGACAAAAAGGAGTTTGAGCGTTTCTGAACATTCAAAATTTTGTGCTCATTTTCACGGAAAACTGTTGAGCTTTCGAGAAACTTTATCTGACATTATTTTAATCACATGTGCTCATTAATATATTAAATTAAAAAACGTTTAAAGAGAAATTTGGATCGGTTTTTGAGAAAATCTTGTTTTCGTTATTTTTTTAAATCGCAAATATTGCACGCAGTATTGCGCGAAAACCACTAACATTTTCAAAAAATGTACATGACCTTAATGAAAGAACTAATTATGGACAACAAATTTCATTTCAAAGAAACATCTCTATCTTAAATTTTGTAGTTGTAGGAAGACACCGAAGAAAATTCATACTTTTGAAATTTTGAAAAATTCAGTTAACCGTGAAAATCGGACCTTTGCCACTTTCATAACTGTATGTTACCTCATTGTTACAAGAAATGTAAAGAAAAAGTTTGGAGCCGTTTTTGAGAAAATTTTGAAAATATCCGGAGGGCTTCATGTAAAGTACCCTCAAATTTTAAAGAATGTTTTTCAAAATCTCAAAGCTACGACTTGGAAAAAAATCCTTCGCATGGTTTAGGCGCTAGTAGTGTTCACAGAAATCGGACGGACAGACGGACGTTTTGAAAAGAACCACTTTTTCCATATTAGGGGACCCCAAAACGTGTATTTCCGTTGAAATTTCGAAATCGATTTTCCGCAGCATTACATAACTTTCCCTACGTACGAGTACATTACTATACAGTATTTCAGTGAAGCTCCTGAGTGTGCCGGATATGCAGATGTGTTTTTGCCATTCCGTCATTGGCAACTAGACCATTTCCCGTGCACCAATCGAGACGTATGAGATGTCATTCGATTCATCTCGGTCTGCTAATGAACTAATAATTTGTTTTCGGATCCCGCCAGAAACTTTAAAGAAATTTCCAAAAGCGTGTTTTTTCGTGTTTTTGTGCTGCGATCTAGGTGATCATGCCAGGAATTAAACCAACGCCTAAATCGATCTATGTATGTGACGTTAATTAAATACCAGAACACCAAAGCATTTTTTGCTTAATACGCCATAATTTTCTTTCACAACCTTGCCAACACTGATGTTGACATCTTTAAGTGAACAATTGAATAACCAAGTAAATCGAGCTGCAGTTTGGTTTCAATTTAGAGTCGAATTATTTTCGTATTTTTAGAAATAAATTTGCGAATACCTACGAACAGAATTACCTCGGAACTTATTTATACTTGAAGAATTTCAAGTGAATATGAGAAAACAAACCTGAGAGAAATGCTAAAGAATGAATTAATGTTATGTTCAACTTTGCACTTTTACGTTCTAACATTAAGTGTGCAATCCCCGTTTTCAAATGAGTGTGAGTCACAACTTATTCTTATTCAAATTAACTAATACCTTATTCATATAAACATATAAAACAGTAACTTTTTAATGTTAGATTCGCATGCAATGCTAGATTCGCATAAAACGCTAGATTTGCATACAAAACGCTTAATAGAGTAATTGAGAAGTAGAAGTAAATTAGACCGAGTTTGTGAAATTTCAGAGTTGTGAAGGTTCTTCAAAAATATGGGGAGAAAAATACGGAAGTGTTAAGGAAATCGGAGGAAGAGTTAAATGTAGTCGTAGAAAATGATGCGATAGAATTTTCGGAATTAATTTGGAATGATCAGTATTTGTTCATTTAACATTTGTGTTAACGCAAATGTGCTATGTGCATTTTTGTGTATATTACTAAAAAAGGGTAAAATGTGGCTGTACTAAAGTTTAACTATTATTTTCAAAACCTTCAAGTATTTGTTACGGCGATTATAATTTTGAAATTGCAATAAAACCTCGTAACATTGGGTGTTGAGAACTTTTGAACTGGAGTATAAGATTATCAACTACTACGATTCATTGGTAAGACCAATGTCAGATACTGAAATAACATATTCAAACAAAGCTGGGCATGAAAGAAATTTTCAACACATGAAATTATTTTTAAAACAGTTTACAGCGT